CCGGGAACATCTTATGATAAATGACACAAGCTTTCCAGGTGTCACTCATCTCTTTCCATGGGGCACACATTTTCCATAGGGTCAAAGGGACCCAAGGTTTTATTTGCACACAGCATTATGGGCGTGCGTGCGTGCGTGCGTGCGTGCGTGCGTGCGTGTGTGTGTGTGTGTGTGTGTGTGTGTGTGTTTATGTTTTCCCCACAGTAACATCTGAGCAGCCTGTCACAGAATCTCTGCCGGGTTCCCCAGGCCTGTGGTCGCATTAGTCATTTGTCCTGCCCTGGGGGTGGGGATGACAGTTGCCTCTGGGATCTGTTGGTAGGCCACTAGCTCAGGGGAACTTCCTCACACTGTAGTAGAAAGGAATAAATGTTTGTTTTGAAAGGTAAGCTTCGGTGAGTAGGAAGAAGGGCTTCGGGGCAAATACTTTGAAAAAACTGCTTCTCAAGGAATGTTGGGGTTTCTGTTTTCAAGACAGGCAAGTTGGAACAGACTTTTTTTTCACGAGCTCTGCCAGCTTTTCTTCTTTCCAGAATTTTGCCTCCTTTCACAATGCACACAAAGGACACCCCCCATGAGAGGATCCCTACCCCATTAAAACATCCACCTGAGACCACGCGCAGGCGCCCACACAGTGGGGAGGAATGAACTGGCCCCTGTCTGGGCCGGGGAGGGAGGGCTGACCCTCACACTTTGAGATCATCATCCTTCTTTCTAATAATCACCTTCCGAATGGGGCTTTCCAGATGTCCACATGGGGCTCACTCTGTCTGTGCTCCAGCACAGCACCTATAAGCATTTCAAACTCAGAAAAAAGCAACCAGGTCTAACCCACAAAGTATTTTACTTTCAATTATAGCATGCACACACAGACACAGACACACAGACACACACACAGAGACACACACACAGGACTCTCCTGCATTCACTTACTATGCCATGGTGTACCCCTCTTAGGAATTGTCGATTAAAGCTCCCAGATTCCAAGTATGGACAGTTCTGTACGATAAAATCAGCTGCCTGAGGGTGGAAGCCAGAGGCCAATATTGGCTGTCTTCCTCTATAGCTCTCCACATTATTTTGGGGGACAAGGCCTCTAACTGAACTTGGAACTCACCAGTTCAGCTAGGTTGCCTGACCAGCAAGCTCCAGAGAGCCCCACCTGGCACTGGGGTTACAAGCACATACTACTACTTGGCCTTTCCACGGGTGCTGGGAATACAAACTCACGTTCTCATGCTTACCCAGCAGCCCCACTGAGCCAGCTCCCAGCCCAGCAAGGCCTCTGAACAGCAGCTTTTGTCACTGTGTGCCTCTTGGTCGGTTCTCTTTCTGACCAGCTGTTTGAACACTGAAGAAAGAAACCAAGTTCACATAAAGTCCTTCCCTGGTTTGAGTGGCTTCACACTGTCTTAGGATCCTAACTTCCACAGGCCCTGTAGACCTGTTCTGCAGGTGGCACTGCCCTCCCCTTTTTCAGGACCCTGAAAAACTGGTTTTTATGATTCTCCAATGTTGTGAAGTGCAGGCTGGGTGAAGCCCGTGGGGATGGGGCTCCAAGGGAAGGAGAAGGAGGTTTTAGGAAACTGGGAGGGTGTGCTTGGCTCGGAATGTTAAAATGCTAGGATTTGATTCTGACAACAGAGCTCACACACTCAATAGACTTTTTTGAGTACCAGGCAGGGAGGGAACTCTGGAGAGCTCGGATGGAAGAACGAATTGATAATTTTGTTTCTGTTGGTGTTGGCAGCTCTCCTCTGCCTTCTTGCTTCCTGGCCACTGGATTACTTATTAACAGTTCTAGGAGAGTAGTGCAGTTCAGAACAGCGGGGAGACAACTGTTGGCCTTCCCTACTCTGCATCCCTTTCCGGAAGTGCCCCCTCCCTTTATAGGGAGCAGCTGTACAGAGCCCTTCTCCACCCTCCTCGCTACCATCTGGTCTCAGCTCAGAACTCACCTCACTGTTGTATTAACGGTCCACTGGACTCCCCTTAGACTACAGAGATTCAGCTGTCCCCGGCAGCTTTTCCCACCACTGTCTGAGGACCCACCCTGTAACTCCAGAGTCCGGTCCCATGTTCTGGGAGTGGCTCTGACTTCCCACAGGACAGAGCTCACTTTCAGCTCTTGCTGCTGCCAAAACTGAGTCCTCAGGTATCCCGCTTGGTCTTTGGAGTTTTTTGTTTGGTTTGGGTTTTGTTGTTGTTGGTGGTGGTGGTGGTGGTGGTGGTGGTGGTGTGTGTGTGTGTGTGTGTGTGTGCTCATACACAAGCTAGCATTATCTGGGAAGAGGAACCTCAACTGAGAAATCCATCGGATGGCCTTAGGCAAGTCTGTAAGGCATTTTCTTGGTTGATGATCGATGTGGTAGGGCCAGGCCACTGTGGGAGGTGCCAACCCTAGGAAGGTGGTCCTGGAGTGTATAGGAAGGCAGGCTGAGCAAGTCACCCGGAGCAAGCCAGCCAGCAGCACTCCTCCATGGCTTCTGCTTCAGCTCCTGCATCCAGGTTCCAGGTTCCTGCCTTGAGTTCCTGCCCTGACTGTGACCTGAGAATTATAAGCTACCATAAACCTTTTCCTTCCCAAGTTGTTTTGGGTCATGGTGTTTACCACAGAAACTTAAACCTAAGACACCAGACAACTTTCGGTCCAAACACCAAATTGTTTGTGATTTCCCACCGTGCTAAGGTCCTATCCTCGGTACTTCTCTGCAGCTCATGTCTCCACCACCCTGGTGGACTCTACAGCTCACTCACCCTAGACCTCACATATGTCTTTTCAGGAGAGCCTCCCCAGGCTTGCAAAGTCTGATCTCCTCTCCCCCAGGCTGTGCACATCACCCCATTTTCCTATTGCAACAGCACCAATGGTGATACTAAAACCTTACCGATCACTGCTCAGATACTGGGATCCTGACACAAGCTTGTGGTCTTTGGATAAATGAATACACTGTCAACAAAGCCAAACTATTACTATTTTGCTAAAAATTGCTGTTGTTAACATCAGGAACAGATTCACTTTGGTCATCAGTGTTGACTTGTGTCCTTACCCTGAAGCTTTTAGGGGTGAATCTGAAAGTCACTGAGACAATAAATATTTCCTGATTTGTGTGTGTTCACATATGTGTGAGTGCACATGTGTGTCTGTGTATGTGGACGCCAGAGGCCAACACCATCTGTCCCCCTGCAATCCGTGATATGCACCCACCACACCTTGCTTCCTCCATGGTTTCTAGGGGTCAGCACTTGACAGGCTGAACCATGTCCCAGTCCCTACTAGCTCCTTCTGTACAGTAAGAACAAACACTGTTCTGGGTCCTAGAAGTTTGACTGTACAATTTTAACATCATCTCAACTTCCCTTTATCTCCTGCTGAATTTATATTTCCATCACCAAAGACCAAAAACAACACAAAACAAACAAAGCCAGCTGAGAGTACAGAATTCAGATGTAGGTGCCACACCCTCAGCCACCCTCTGACACTCTCTGCCATCCTGTCATCAGCCACCCTCAGCCAGCCTCTGCCACACTCTGCCAGTACAGGAGTTTGAGAAACAGGTCTTTTGCTGCAGCCTACTCCTCAAGTGAAGCTACTGTTCCATAAGCTTTCGTGACAGTGTTTTCACTATTCAGTAGGGATTTTATGCAAAGAACGTTTCTATAAATAAGGCACACCCTACTTGCCATAAAGTCTCCCTAGTTTACTCCTGGTATTCTTTAAGAAATCGTACGTCTGGGGCTGGAGATAAAGCTCAGTATGTTTGTTTAGCATGGATGAAACACTGGCCTCCTCCCCCAACACAACATAAACCTAGATGCAGATCTCATACGCCTGCAGTCCCTGTGTTTAGAAGGTGGCAGTAGGAGGATCAGAAGTTCAAGGTCATCCTCAACTCTATGTTGAGCTCTAGCCAACCCGGACTACATGAGACCCCACCTAAACCAAGAGTCCTCCATTTTATCACATCATAGTTTCTTTTCTGTGGCTGTGATATACCACTAAGGCAACTCATAGAAGGGTTTCTTTGGGTTTATAGTTCAAGAAAAGCAAGAACTCACGATGTCAGGGAGGATTGCAGTCATGGGCAGGCATGGGCAGGAAGCAGAGAGCACAGACCTCCAATCTGCAAGCACAGAGCAGACAGAGTGGAAGGTCCCTCCCCCAGGGACCTGACCCTGGCCAAGTACCACCAGCTGGGGACCAGGGCTCAAATACCTCAGACTGGGGGATACTTCACATTCAAATGACCACACTACTGAACTTATAACCACCAGTCTTAAAGCACGTTAAAGCAGGCTGTGAGTGAGACAGCCCACTGGTTAGGAACACTTGTGACTGTAGAGGACCTGGGTTTGGTTTCCAGCACCCAACACAACCATGACCAACTCCAGTGTCAGCAGATCTGACGCCTTCTTCTGCCCTCCGAAGGGAGCCAAGAGCAGGGCTGTTAAATATATACACAGGCAAACCATTCATACACATAAAATAAAATACATAAGTCTAAAAATAATTTTCAAAAAAAGTCAAAGCACCTATATTTTCCAAACAGGAGAGCCAGCCTCTAGACTGGCTCCACCATCTCCACTTCCAGAGCCTCAGCCTCCCCTTTCTCCCGCTGTTCCTCCTCCTCAGATTTCCTCAGCCAGCGGTGGCCTCCTGCCAGGATCCTGACTCAGGCTGCTGGGCCCAGGGCTGGGGCTGTCTTTCCTGCTCCTCCCTCAATCTACGTGTGGCACCCTCACTGGAACCACCCAGACTTCTGAGCAGGTATTTCTGCAAACCCTTGAGCACTGTCCAAAATGACCCGAGCCCTTGGAGAGGTTGTGCTTCTCACTGCCCTAGGTGACACTCTGCCTGGCTGTTCTCTAACCTGTGCCTCAGTGACCCTGAAGGCCCTCAGCCCCTCAAACACTCCTGCTCCATGTGAGCCGAGGTGCCGCTCCTCCGAGTGTCTGGCCAGTCCCTGAAGCAACCTATCGACAAGTCCATGTCTTCTTACCTTTTCCAAGGCCTTCCTCTCTTCCCTCTTGATAGCCATGTTTTCTTTCCTTTCTTTTCTTTGGGCTTGCCAAGTTACTCTTTAGTTAGCTACTCTTTATCGCTACTCTTCATCAGTCTGGCTGCCAGATTTTGACTTCTGTTACTCCTTTCCATCTCAAAGTCTGGTCTTCGGATCCTTGGTGACTGTACACTTAGCCCCACCTTCTCCCTGTTGGCTTAGTACCGTGCTCTGACACCTAAACCATAGGTAGTTCCCAAAACTCTTGAGACGAGAGACATCTCAGTTCCGAGAGTGCTTGGCAGCACACACGTGCAACCCCAGCACCCTGGAGTAGAGGCAGGAGGATCAGACGGTCACACAGTAAGCTCAGGTCAGACTGGACCACATGAGACTGTTTTAAAACACAAAGCAAACAACCCCCCCAAAACAGAACACCTCTCAGTCGGCCTACCACCCCCACGGCTGCCAGGCCTTTCCCATGGCCCCCTGCGCGCTTCATGGTTACCTCTCAAAGCTTCCGGGCGTCCACCCACAATGCATCACACCCGGTCAACCAAGCCACCAACGTTCCTATCATTCCCAGTTGCGTCGAAAACCCACGTATAAACAGCCTCACCGCCCTGCGGCTTTCTGCTCTTCATATTCTTGCATTTCCGGTTCCGTTCAAGTCAGCTTACCGCTTCCAGACCTCCCTTCTCTGGGCTGCTCTCCTCACCTAGCTTCTGCTTCTCCTTTCACAATTTCTAGACACGCGCCTGTAAGCTAACTCTAGAACATTTGCACACTCAGTGTTAGGGCCATAAGGGCTGTTTCTGAGTCAAAAGCCAAGTTGCCTCTCGGAGATTCTGGGCAGAAGGGTTTTGCCCATCAGTGATACAGCTGCTGGTATGTCCTCTCAGGAGACTGTAACTTTAGCATCTTGGCTGGCAAATAAAGACTTGGGTTTTCTCCTATCCTTTATGTCTAGCTTCCCGTGCTTGTCTTTCTCGAACTACCACTATTTAAAAAATTTGCTCAATGTTATCCTAAACTAACCTGAAACATCCATCCAGCGCCTCCATCTTCCTGGCCTCTCACCTTCCTTCCAGCTCTTTGCTATGAAGACAAACGCAGAAGGCGCAGCTATGCTAGTTTATTTTGACTACTAGACGGTGACGATAGGTAAATAGCCATCTGGCACTGGGCTTCTTGCTCCCAAGATAAAGACTGGCTTACATGACTGCTCCGTTTCTTTCTACATAAAAATTAAGATTCTGTGATGGCTTTTGAAATAGTTTTCAGATTACCAGGAAGTGGTGCTGCCAGGACATCTTACTAAAAAGCTAGTTCAAAGCAGTCCTAGGCTCCCTACTGGCTTTGCAGTTAGAATTATTAGCATGCCTAGTATGGAACTACCTGACAGATAGACATCAACCCTTTTAAAGGTGCAGAAAGGGGCCTTAATGAAGGTTTTCGACCACTGGTGTCCCAACACACTCAGAAAAAAAATGTTGAGAACCCACATCCAAGTTCACACCTATACACCAAGCTGCTGTTGCTTCTTCCAAGCACATGAACCTGTCCAGTCTATTATCACCAAGAAGACATAACAGGACAAACACAGGCTCAGCTTGAAGCTAATTTTAATGTTAACACATGAAAAATAACCACAGCCACAAAGCCATTTGTTCCGGACACCTGAGCAAACACATGGAGGAGACAAGACGGGCCCATTTCTTAACTCACAGCCAAGTATAGTAACTATGAGGCAAAGACTGACAAGAAGAACGAGACAGTGAAAGCCATGTGCAGCCAGAAGGCAGAGCTGGCTGCAAAATGAGGGAAAAGCTCGATACTGCATGAAAGAGGCCTGGGCAGTCTGCAGACACCAGGCTGTCACCTCCTGAGCCATGGCTTTGCTTCATCTCAAAATGAAGAGAGCAAACTAGCTGAGTCCGTTCCAAAACTGAGAGTCACCCCAGAAACCTTTTTAAACAGTGCAGGTCCCTTCCCTAGAGAAGCTTCAGAACAGGTCTGATCTATACTTGTGAATTTTAAAATGTTTAACCAGCAACCTGGTTTCATACCTGATAGAGAAACATTAAAACACACTGGCCAACAATTGCCTCCATGCTCCGGGGCCTGAGTTCTGTCTCTGGAACCTACACGGTGGACAGAGAATGACTCTAGAGTCGCCCTGGTGCCTCCATCCTGTGCACTGCAGCATGTCCGTGCCTCTCCCCCATCAAGCACACAGTAAAATAAACACCTTTTGAAGAGGTATGCGCTGGGATCGATCTGTAACTCTAACAGTCTACTGAGCATGAATGCGACTTGGCAATGAGAGCCTATGACAGTAACTGCCAGCACATTTATGGGCATTTTAATTGTACTATACTCATGAGTGAGTGATGGCGGAGAACAGATCTCCATTATCATTTAGCCAAAAGAAGAATTTAAGTTTATAATATGTTTAAAAAGCCTCATGCACCTGAAAACAAAACAAACAAAAAAAAGGACAGTGGGAATGTGGTAACTGAAAGTCCATCTAAATACTTCTGATTCAGTAATTGATACATTCCGAAAGGAGTCGGTGTTCTTACACAGCTTTATATAAAATCTGCCACAAACGTCATCACTTTTTTAATGGAAATATAATTTCAAAATTTATCAATGTTCCTTGATAAGTATTTTCCCTCTCTATGCTCAGAAAGCAGAATTTTTCAATTTAAGTATTTGTGTTTTTTAAAAAATCCTAGGTGATAGCTTTCAATTCATTTCCTTTCCCATTAAAGACTCCTGTTTGGAAGTAGCAGCTAGAACTATTTAAAGATCCACCTTAGGCCCTCTCAGAATGGACTTGTCTACTTTGTCTCCCCTTCCTTCTGGGTTACATCTTATAAGCTTTAGTACAGGGTATCACGCAATTCAGAAATCCCACATGGCTTCTACTCTTCAGTTATATTTCTAATAGTAAGTCTTTAAAACTGAAAAGAAATGGCATTAGGAAAATACAGCAGAAATGAACCATTTGCTCAATACGAAGCCAGCTCCACGAGTGGTTGGTGCATCTATGATACTAACACATTGGGGGCTGAGGCAGGAGGATTGGAAGCTCAAGGAGAGCCTGAACCACGTGTTTTGCCTTTTGCTTTGTTTTTGTTTTTTAAGGCATCCGGTCTGCCACGGGTTCCAGCTGAAGCAGCATGGCCAAGTTTAAGAATGAAAAGCATAGGCTTGCGTGCCCGGTGTGCCCTTTCTGCCAACATTATCAAGTTCATGGCAGTGCTCAGGGTTTGTTAGGGGCAAAAGCCCAAGTCTCCAGAACTTAAGAGACATCACAGAGAAACTCTCTGATCTACGAAGAATCAGATCTATGCTTTACCAACCTTACAGACTTGTTAGGAGGGCCCAGCTTCGAACCTACGTCACTTCTGAACAGATTGAAGTTATGAGAGAATGAATACCAGGCTTGCAACTAGCTCTGTCTATAGCTGGCGCTAAAGCCCTACAGTATACAGCTGGTGTTAAAACCCCACAGCATACAGATGGCACTAAAACCCCACAGTATACTGCTGGTGCTAAAACTCTACATACGGCATGCTTTCCCCTGAAAAGGCTTTTAGACTAAGCCAGTGCTGCTTAGCCTGGTTACTACAGATCAAGTCCTTAACTACATGGTGTCTGACAGCAACTGAAAAAGCCAGATCTTTGAACAGCCTGTGATCGACAGACTCCAGTAAGGCACCAGCTCAGGAAAATGCTAAACACTAAGACATCAGGGACATAAATACTCAAGTCTGTATCTCAAAGTAGTCTTTGAACACGAATATTCATTTAACAATTCCCCTTGGGGGCTGAGCTGAGAAAATATTTAACTGCAAAATATCATAATGCCAACCAGAAGCTTTAGTGACCTAAAAGAAAACTACTTCAAGCTTTTCCCCATTACACCCTGACTGATAAAACAGGAAAGCTGAGCTACGAAGAACACACAAGGAACCACCTGACAGGAAGCTAGGTGGGTGGCTTCTGGTGCCTGGACTTGAATTAGCATCATCCTCCTTTCCAATGTAGAAGGCCGGGTCAGCGACCTGGGGAGACTGAGGGTCTGCAAACAAAACCTAAGATGCAAAAGTCTACCAGACGTCGCTTGACTAGCCCCAATAGTAAGGCATCAACATTTTGTTTTCCCATGTGAAGCTTCAGGCTTATAGGACACTGAGCGCAGCTGGGTGACATCCATCAAAGGTACGGCAAGGCTGCCACAGGAAGGTTCCTGGACAGCTCTCTGGCATCTTAAGAGCTTTCTTTGGCAATCCTAATTCCTAATTATGAAAATGCTTGTTAAAGTGACAGCTCCAGAGGCTCTTAGCATGTTTATCTTACTAAATCATTTAAGCACTACGGCTGGAAACTAATCTGAAGGCCAGAGTTAAGATAAACATTTTTAAAAATGTAGTTTTGCCTCATCTCAAATAACTATGATATGAAGAAAACTCATACTTATGAAATAAAGTGGGGACATTAATCTTAAAAAAAATGCTTCACTTTACAAAGTAACTAACTCACTTGGGTGTTTGATGAAACAGTACAGACCATAGAATTCTGACTAAAGGACTTTGCAGCAAACATTTCCCTTAAAACTTGAGGTCGCCTGTGCCTGGACTTTGTAACTTAACGTCTGAAAAGTTTAAAACAAGTAACAATTCCACAGCAGCACAGGCTGAAAAGTAAAAGATGAAATCAGGAGACAGTTTCATTAATTAATATATTTTCTGCATTGTAGTTAACATATATGTACTTTTTTCGAGTCACCTTGTTTTTCATGAAGTAGTGATATGTTATATTCAGACATGAGTACACTTCAACAGTCTTTTGCAATAAATATCATAAAATAATAGAGATTCGCATAATAAATATTCTTTACAATAAAAAAGTTTAACAGACTTTTGTCTTAAAAATAGCCAGGATTCAACTTTGTGATTTACACATATAATATACAAAAAGCACCACAATTTGTGGTTAAGGCAATGAAAACACAGGAAGGATTGGAAACACCCAGCTGTTAAGAGTCAAAAGGACAGTCAGAGGCCAAGGGCACCTTGCTACAGCTCCCAGGCGCCTAGGGGCAGATCAGTGAGGAATTTCAACTAGTTGTCAACTGCCCTCAGTGAAGTGCCGGTGGGAAGGGAAGTCCTTCACAGATGCGGGGCACAGGAGGATTAGCCAACACCATCTCTACTGTGAAGACAGATGTTGCAGAATGAATACAGAACAAAGAGGGTGGAGAGGGGGTGACCCACTGGTGTCTCCCCAGTACACTGTGAGGAGAATCTGAGGGCTGGAGGGAGAGGGCAGCCAGCTGTTGCAGAGCAAACGGTGTTCTAAGGAGTAAGTAGATCCTCCCATTCGACTTGGGGACCGGAGGCTAGATAGCTCTCATCGGAGGCAGATTAATATATAGCTTATGTAAGCACTTGCATGGTTACTTTTTAATAAAGCACACCAAGTCCCTGATCCCACAGTACCCGACCCCAAACATCTCTAAGCCAAGTCTGGCCAAGTCTGGGCGTGCCCACATCCTCATGGACACAGCTGGAAACCCGATGAAGCACAAGGCTCCACAGGACTCCCAGCTCCCAGAACCCTTGAGCTGGGGTGAGAGCAAGCTGGGCACAGTTTCATAGTCCACTCCTACCGAGGACCATCAGAGACAGAGACTCGGGGAAAAAATACCACGTTTTCTTAACAGCCACAGTTCGGAAGCTAGACACTCAGGAGGTCTAACCCACCTCCAGAAATCATGACAGCTTGCCCTGGGCCCTCGAGGGGCAGCTCTCCAGCTTACAATAGACAGTGTTGGAGTTCCTACACCTGCAGCCGGGGCGGTGGGTCCAGTCATAACAGCCCCGGCACAGCTTCAGGCAGCCCTTGGCAGGAGGGTAGCAGAGCAAACAGGGGAGGCATAAAGACAGGGCTCCCATGCACAGGTATCTGAAGCAGCAGTGGGGCTGTGAGCAGGAGCACGGGTTGTCCGAGTAAGAGCCCCCGTCGTCATCGTTGGAGCAGTGGTAGAAAATGCCCTTGACCAGGCACATGCAGGTCCCGTACTCCACCATGCTCTCGGCCGAGCAGAGGCACTGCCGGTCGCAGGCCAGACAGGAGGGCAGAGCCCGGGGGGCTGTACACTCTCCACACTTGCACTTGCCACATTGTCCACAGATGAACTTGTGCTGGGTAGGATCCTCTTTCAAGGAACCCTTCAAGTCATCCACAAGCAGCTGCTTGGGTTGGGTCCGGATGACCCTATCTGACCTATGACCGGGGATGGGCCTGGTGGGCGGAGACCTTCCCAACAGGCCCTGCTCGGAAGACGCACTGCTGCTGCTCCCTGAACTGGCTGCACTTCCGGTGCTGGTGGACCTGCTCAACACCGAGCCCCTGGCGTTGCCGGAGTGGCTGGCAGGTCGGTGCTCGTAGCTGTTATTCACATTGGCTGGTATGATTTCATGAGTCCTTTCCTGCTTTTCGGGTCTTGGTGCGGTGCGAGGAGCCGGTCTTCGCACTACCGACGGTCCCTCTGTGTATTCATTGCTGCCTCTGATGGCCTTGATCTGGTCTAGGGACAGAATTGCAGCAGGCTGAGTGTCCCTGTCATAGTCTAACCTCTGCCGACCTTCCAGAGCCGGTGGCTGAATCACCACTAGGGAAGTGTGGCTGCTATGTTGACTTGGGGGATCCATGTGGAGTGGTCTCCGGTTCCGGCAGTCAGCAGAAACCGGGCATGCATCGGAAATCCTAAAGAAGAGTTGAGAGAGAAAACAAATGAGAAAGCATTCTGGGGAGACGGGCTCCTGTCAAGTCACAAACTGCCCAAACCACCTGGTAACGATCGCCTCCATCGGCTGATTCCAATGATGCAGAATCCTGGCAGGAGTCCAACCACAAAAAACACGATTGTAGAAGGTCACATCACAGGAAGAAAGCAACAAAAGCCCTCCCGCCACAAAAATTAGAAGTTGCTCCCCAGCTTCTAAAAAAGCAGAGGAAGTCGTGTCTTCCTGTTTGCAAACCTAACAAATAATTAAAATGAAGTATGCCTTCGAAGGGAGCATTCAGTGTGTGCCCTGGAACTGTTCTCGGAGAGTTCACTATCAGTTCACTGGCAGTTCACGTAAGGAAAATGTCAGCTACTTTTTTAAAGCTTAAGAATGGCTTTAGTGCTGCGGCCTCTTGGCCATTTGTACGCTGTTAAGAGCTTTAGATGAATGAGAAAATTAATCAAGGCCATTTCCAAAACACTGCATATACCAAGCTCACGTGGAATCTCAATAGGCTGTTTTGAGCACAAGTCCGGATCTAAAAGCTCATCTGTGAGATGAGAAAAAGAATCTACCAGGAATGGAGAAGGCAGAGGCTCTGGCTGTCTTACTGGTATTAGAGCATACACACAAACTCTGGATAGAAGTTTCTTTAAAGGCTAAACAAGGCTCATTCATGTAACAAGAATACTTTTATGCACAAGTGTTAAGCCTGCAGAGCAGGGAGAGGAACCCTGGTCTCTTTGCATTATCTCTATTTCCTTTCCTTCATCTACACCGCAGACCTTGATTCCAACAAACCCTGAATCGAGCTGCTTTTTGTAGTAAGATAAATACACTAATATCTTGACACAACAATCACGTTTTCACGTCAAGAAATAATTTACAATTTATAACGTATTCTTCCTAACACAGAGCAAAAGCTGACTTTTCCGTTTCTGGCCAATAGATATCTAGGATTTTTCACACAAATGCCCTCCAAACCCAGAGATGCACCCTTGACGACACTTGAATTAGGTGCCAAAGAAAACAAAAAGTCTCAAGGAAAGGCAGTTTGCTACGGATGCTAACTACTGCTCCTAGACTACATGTTTAGCTTCTTGGGGGCCCCCCTAGTTTATTCTACCTTCCCCAAACACGAGGGCACATCCGTAACAGCACGTTTTCGTGCCGAACCCCTAAACGACACTGGAAAACAGCTAGTCGTTGCTCCCGTGCCCTATCTATTTGAAAAAACTTAAAACTCCAAAACGAAGACTTTAAAGGTGCCAAGTCTCATCCACAAGAAAGGAAGACGTGGGAATGGCTTGAGTAATGAAACCCCCAGGCATAGCTTTAATTCGCATTTTACAGGGCATTCCCAAGCAAGTTCGCTCTGGCGGAGCACCTCGGCGCCCGCACCCGCCCGGAGAGGAGCCGGTGCGCGCAGACAGCTCTGTGGGCCGGCACCGAGGCCTCAGGGACACCGAGCCGCCGCGGCTCGGGCTGGGGAAAGTTATGAATGAAAACAGCTCGCGGGCGGGAGGAGGCAGCGCCCTCTCCCCGCGTCGCGAGGCACTGCGCTCCGAGCACAGGCGGCCGCTGGCTCCCCAGCGCCATCGGGTGCCGCGCGCTTGGCACGGGCTGTGCGACGACCGCCTGGATCGCCCGGCCCGCCCCGGCCCGCACCTGCCGCCCGCACTCACCTCGGCCTCCGCGGCGCCGGCCCGGGGCGCCGAACGGGCGGGGTGCGCGCCGCATCAAGCGCGGCGGGGCGGCCGGGCGCTCATAGCCCGCGCTGCGGCCTCGGCGGCCCCCGGGCAGGGGCGCTTCTCCGCGGTTGGCGGCGGCCGAGGGCGGCTCCGGGACATCCGCCGGGTGCGCGCGGCGCCCGCTCCACAGCACCGTCCCGTCCCGGTCGTCAGGCGCGCGGCCCGGCGTCGTCCCGGGCGCTCGGGTCCCCGCAGGTCCGCGTCCCCGCAGTCGCCACGCCGGCTGCAGACGAGCAGAGACAGAAACACGTGAGTCCCTTGCCAGCCCGGGACGCTGTCCTCCTCGCCACGATGGACAGCCACGCTCCCGGGACACACGCGGCCGTGCACGTTTTGCCCCCACGGAATGCCCAGCAGTGAAAAGCGCGTCCGAACGGCGCGTCTGCTCCAGGCAAGTCCGCACTCGGGGACGGCAAAGTCAGGTCTGGCACGAGCGCCCGGCGGCTCGGTCGCCAACAATGCGCACAGACACGCGGGTGCGCGGAGATGCCAGCCCGCGTCCGCACACGCGGAACTCGCTGCCCGGCTACGGGAAAGCGAAAGGAGCCAGCTCTCCAGCTGCAGGGCCGACTGCAGAGCGCCGGGCACCAAGCTAGAGCCAGATCCGAAAACGTCCAGGTCCTTGGAAAAAAAAAAAAAAAAAGCACCATTCTCACCTGATCTCGCCAGGTCCTGGGCGGGAGGGCAAGGCTCTTGCCTAGTGCAGAGCCCGGGGCCGGCCTTCCTGGCACATGCACGCCGCCCGCAGCTGCTCCTTAGCCCGCAGAGCTCTGGCTGCGGGGCCGCCGCAAACTCCTGCGTGCTGAGCACTCGCGCGCGGGCTCCGCAGCATTTCAGCGTCGCCGCCACCTCCACCTCCACGCTGGGATCCGCCCCCGGTGATATCATGTGTCAATCACGCGGGCTGCGCGAAAACACGGAGCAGGATTTTAGCGGTCGTGGATGTGGAGTCGAGGACGCTCTGAAAAAGTTGCCTGTGAGCGCAACTGGGCAGCAACACACGTTCCAGGGCGCCTGGCAGTCAGTGAGCTGTCAGCCTCCAATTTAAGGGAGCCGGTGCATTCACCCTTATGAGTTAGAAAAGAGTTGTGAAGAGCAGTAAGCAAAATCAAAAAGCAAAACAACAACAACAACAACAACAAAAAAGCTTGTACACCTCTCCACCGTGCCCCAGGTAGAGGGAAAATGTATGCTAATACAGACAGATAATAGGGAGTTCAGAGCATGTGAAATATGAAAGTTCCCGAAAGGACAGTCACTTTTGCAAATGTAATATAATGATACGCCACAGAGTGGGATTTCCTGCTGTGGGATTTTAGTGATTGCTCCGTTTCGGTTTGTGTTATGATCCCAAAAATTACACGAAAAAAAATCCCAAGTCCTTCCTGTTTTGTAATGTTTATATAATTATGTCAAAAAACACCAACTTTTTTTTATAAACCAACATAAAGCCAAGTAAAATAAGAATAATTCATGAAGAAGCTCTAGTTTTGGTTACTTGTCTGTCACAGGGTGGGAGGACTCTAGGAAGTGGGGAATGCTTTTTGCTTCTTTACAAACTCTGGGATTTGGGGCATTTATTATCGGAATGATGTAGCTCAGGACGAAGTCAAAAGAACTATATGTGGAACTAAAAATTCCACAGAGGGTTTTTAAAATAACCTAAGACCCCAAAAATTGTTAATAGGAAATATTTTCCCAGGCAACTGTATCAGGAATAGTTTTGATAAACAACAGATCTCCAGGGTCTAAATCATCCATGAGTATGAGTTTGGTATTTTGGGCTGAAAGTAGTTTTTTAAAGTGTTAGCAATACCAGCGGGTTTTTAAAAGCTTTTTGTTGTTGTTGCTCTTTGCACACTTCATTCTCAAGCATCTAAATGCTTTTAGAAATCGCAGTTGTGTGTGGAATCGCATAGGAGAAATCCAGGACTCTTCTGCAAAGAAGATCCTCCATAAGAAAGGCCACTAGAGGATAACAGAACATTCTGGAAGCCAGGAAACTAGCTGTCTGTCCACCTTCATGCTAGGAAATGTGTTAAAAGCAATATTTTCAAATATAAAGTTGGTGGGGCTCTTATTAAAATACACTTCAAAGTATTTCAGCCGAGATGTGCTAAAAAATTCCTAAGTTTTAAAAAATTATAATAATAACAATCCATGAATTTTTGTTGGGAATGCTATCATCACGGGTCATGTTCTATTTCAAAATCGAATATGTTGCACAAAGTGATTCTCTCCTATGCCTCCTCCTTGTGTTTCCTTAGATGCCACAGTCCTACTTAGGACCAGGGTAGACTTGCCGCCTTAAATCTGGAAGACATTTAATGAAGTCTGCTTCACCTTTTTATTTCCCGCTGTCATAAGATTTGAGAGAAATTACACATTTTTAGCTCATAACAGAGCTTTTTATTCAGTAAACTTAACTGCAGTGAGTTTAGTCTAGGAATAGCAACTGATGTAGGAAACATTTTTGAAAAAGAGGACACAAGGATGAGTGGGGAACTCACAGTAATTTCTAGTTCCCTGTATCGACAGAGTGGGGTGGGAAGAGAGACTCAATTCGTTCTTCAGTTCCATGGGAAAACACAATTAGCCATCTCCTTTGTTGAAAGAGAATAAAGTGACAAACTCATTTGGCAAATGCTTCAGAAGTGCTGATGACTTAAAAGAAATTAAAGGACTCAAAGACTTGTTGATTTATTTGTTTGCTCAAATAAAAACATCAGAGCCATTGTGTGTGTGCTTCCAGGCTGACAAGCAATACCTTCTACATTTCCTAGTATTTAGTCATGTTACGTTATTAATGGTGAAATTAACTATATTGTCATTCATACATAGCCTTGCATCCTGTTGAGAAACAAACTTGAAACCAAAACACCACGGAAGTTGGCGCATCAGCGGAGTTGGATCCATCGATAAGGAGCCAGCAATGGAAAATTTCCTTCCTTTCCTTTTAGGGCAATAATCACTGTATTACTGAAAGTCCTCAGAAAAGCTGCAAGGATGGGCCATGTTATTTTCAGTTTCCTTTTGTGAACAGCCTTTGTAGAAGACAGAAGTAGACTAATGTATTCTGTAAGACTTCCATAAACATTCCTCTCATTTTCAGAAGCTTGGGATGAGGAGCAAAAGGTCCCTTAAAGCAATGAACTTGATTTGTCAGTTCTGGTCAGCAACACATCCTAACCTGAGCTCTTCCTACCGCCTTCATCATTACAGATGTGCTTAAGAACCTCATCAAGACAGAGCAGGGTATCTTCTCATTAAAACACGTAAGATTTGAAACGTCTCCCAGGACTTGTCTCCTTTAATGTTTGCTTCCTAATGAAATAATTGTCAGGAACCACAGTTTGTCCTTTTTATGAAAAAGTAGCATATTGTAGGTCTCACTATAGACAAAGGACACAAGAAGTTTAAGTGTATACTTAATTTCCTTACTTTGTAATTGTCATGGCATTTAAAGTAATCCCATTAAAAAACTCAGTTTCTCTATAGTGACTGATCACGTACAAAGGGCTGAGTTTTGACTGTATCCTCCTTCTGCTCCATGGTCTCACATCTCGAATGTGTCCTGTTTACCCATAGGCCCTCTGTCCAGTATTACAGACAGGCAGTAGGAAGAACACTGTGTCCTGAAGCAAGCTAGATGGAGGACCCTACTGGGAGAAGTCCCAGCTCTGACTTGTGTAGTTAAGTGGTCTTTGTTTTCTCCTGAAGCTAAAAGAAACACTGTAGGTTTCTGATGCCCTGATGCTCAGGATGGAGTCAAACACATACAAGTGCTTTGTGAGCTGGGAAAAATCTATAAATAATCAGTTGGTGTTGTGTCAACATACTGAATAAAGAAGAAATATGAGAACCCTCATTTCCTAGAGTTTCATCCCTAAATAATAAGTTTAGTTTGCCTTATAACTTTTCATGTCAATTGGGTTTCATGTTCGTTCTAAGACAAATTTTTAGGTTTGGCCAATTGTCTTGCCATATTCACATGTGAGTGTGTGTGTGTGTGTGTGTGTGAGAGAGAGAGAGAGAGAGAGAGAGAGAGAGAGAGAGAGAGAGAGAGAGAGAGAGAGAGAGAGAGAGAGAGCGTGTGCATGTACACATGCATATCTTGACTGGAATTTTGCAGCAGCTGCCCATTAAGTTCAGGTTAAGACGTGTAACTTTAACATTTATCTGGGGGCTTTTAGTGATTTAACTTTTATTTCCAGTTAAGACATTGAACATTGTAAACATTAAAATCCTCACAGGGGCTGAAAAGACAGCTCAGTGGTTACAAGAGCTTGCATTTCTTCCAGAGGACGCAGGTTTGATTCCCAGCACACATGTTACATGGTCCACACCTCCTATAACTCCACCTCCAGGAGATCTGAAGCCTCTGGCCTTCCTGGGCACCTGTGCTAGTGTGGACAAACCCACATAGAAAAATAAACATAAACATATGATTTGAAATAAAAATAGAAAAATTTAAATCCTTACTATAAAATTTTAAACTCATATTATCAAGTGTTTAAAAAGCAAATAAATATTTTAAAAATAAATTGAAGAACTTTAAAAGTCAAAGTAAAAATATTTTTTAAAAGTCTGAAGATGCTTCTACTTGTTGTCATGGTTTGTTATGGACTTTTACAATAGTTTTGGCCCTCCATAACAAATATCAAAGTTGGTAGTAGATGCATTCCATCAACCATGGAAGTATTTCAGCATCATGAATTTTGTGTTGATTTTGAAAACTGAAAGCAAAGGTCGGTAGGCGGTGAACATCAATGAACAACAGCTTCGTGAAGCGCCACCTATTGTTGGAAACAAGTCATTTCAAATTTCAGTGACAATGGAACAAGCTTGGGGATTACACTTCAGTTCTTTAAAAAGGCGTCTTTTACTCTTTTTCTTTTAGAGATCACCATATAACTTTGGGTGTTAGTCTTCAGTGAAGTTACAAAGTGCAATCTGTATATACCAACTGCTTTTTAAGGAATTCGTGTGAGACACTGCATTCACAGAAAGTTACAAGATTAATATAAAGAAATTAGAGTAGCAAGTGACTTTTAACTAACACATGAGAACCAATATAACCAAGAAGAGGACGTCCCAGAAAATGTATGCACTTTGTCCAACGGTGACCTGATTATACCTGATTGGGTATTGTCAACTTGACCCAAACCTAGACCCACATACGAAGAGAAACCCTCAATTGTGGAAACGCCTCCATCAGATTTCCTGTAGGCAGATTCTGTGGGGCATTTTCTTGATTAATGATTGATGTGGGCAGGCTGTCACTAGAAAAGCAGTCCTGAACTATTTGAGAAAGCAGGCTGAGCAAGCCATGGGGAGCAAGCTAGTAAATAAAGAGTATTCCTCCGTAGCCTCTGTATCAGCTTCTGCTTCCAGGTTCCTGCCTTGAATTCCTGCCCTGACCTCCTTGGATGATGGGCTACAAATTGTAAGATGAAATAAACCCTTTCCTCCCCAAGTTGCTTTTGGTCATGGTGTTTTATCACAGCAATACAAACCTAACTGAAGCAAAAGCTTTCTTTACAATCCTTGTATCAATTTGACTGACATCAGTCTCTTGAAAGATCTAATACCTTCTGGCATTATGCTGACCCCGCTCCCTGACAATGGGAGAGACAGGCATACAGGCATTCAGGCAGATACTTGGACAGCTCAAAGGGTCCTGTGTTGCATGGCCACATCATGGCAATGTCACACGTTCTGGGGCTGCATTTGGGTTTTCTTAATGAATTCAACAGCACCGAGTACACTGAGAAATAGTTTGGGACCTTGTCAACAGAAAAGCAACAAGATCCGGATTGTTACTTTGATTACTCTAAATCAAATGAGGGCACTTTTGAGACAGA